AATTGAACAAAACTCTTTTTAAATCTCATATGATGAACCTATATTAAAAAAAAAATTGAGTTCACAATCTGAATTTTAAAGGTCTAAAACTTCTAATTCGAATGAGAAATTCAAATAGATTACTTAATAAAATAAATAAGAGGATCCATTTATTCATTAATTCACAAATGAATTGAAAAGAGATATTATCAAAAGAATTCTTGCCTTAATTTTAATTTAAGAAAAAGATAAAATTACAGAAATTAATTAATAATAATATTTTAAAAAGATTATAAGAAATCAAGCTAAATAAGAATATTATGAATAAGTTGTTTTTAATGTTCATTAATTATTTTTGAAAGAAATATTTGAGGAATAATTTGAAAATTAGAATAAAAAATTTACAATGATTTCATATGCTCCTGTTATATTTGACATTCTCATGTATTTATAATTTTTATACACATTAGAAATGAAGATTACGATAAACTAGACATCTTAAATTGTTTAGATCTTGAAGCAAACCAAGAACATATTAGAGAATGTGCTTAAACTACAGGTGGTAAATCAGGAGAATTCTTCTTTTTTAATCATAACAATAAGCTTCTCTTGAAAACAATAACCATGACAGAACTAAATAATTTAACAGAAATTCTTGAATAATATTTTTGGCATTGTACTCAAAATCCTAATACATTAATTGCAAAGATTTTAGGTATTTATACGTTTGAAGGATTTGAAATTGGTAGAATTTCTATGATTTTAATGAAAAATATCGGTAAAATCAATTCATCAGCTATCACTCGTATTTTCGATTTAAAAGGTAGCAGTTACAAAAGGGAAGTACTTAAACCAATTAAATAATCAGGTGAATTAAACAATTAAATAATTACTATTCCAAAATAATTAAAAGATATAGACTTTTTAAAATTAGAAAAATAAATCAATATCAGTCCTTAATGTTGTACCACAATTTATGAACAATTAGAAATTGACACTTTATTTTTATAATAGCTTGGTTTTATGGATTATTCTTTCTGTCTTATGCTTGTTGATTGGTTAAACTATTATGCATCTTAACTTTAAGATGATATATAAGATTAAGTACTTATTGATAAGATTATCAATTAAAAAATAGCAAAATTATAACATTGTTATCCAAGTACAATTCAAAAAGGTATCTATTATCACATGGGTATTATTGATTATCTTCAAAAATATAATTTAAAAAAAATGACTGAAAAATACAGCAAAAGATTTATGAAGTTAGATTCAAATCTTGATACATCTTCTTAAAACCCTTAAGAATATAGGAAGAGATTCTTATTGTTTATGAAGAAAATTTTATGATTATTTTAATGAATAATTCTTCTCTATTCTATATAAATTAATGTAATAATATGATAAAAATTTGAATACTTTAAAACCCTTTGTAAAATTATTAAAAATTCTTATTCATATTTTTTCAAAATTATTAAAATTATTTGATTTTTCTAAATAACTAATTATGTATAAGATCTTAATTGATGCATATTGAATATTTGGCTTGCCACTAAAACCTTTTAAATGCCAAAATCTTATGGCCAATTTCAAATTGTAGTATGTAATTGAAAAAAGTTTATTTATGAAATAAGGACATTCTATATATATTAGGAGATTAGTAGAATACTTCTTATTAAATTGTTTTATTAAGCAATTCCTTTTTTCTAGAAATTTAAAATTTATTATTGGATATCTTAAAAAAAAAAACTAATATTTTCATCAATTTAAAATGAAGAGATAGAGACTTTTAACATTAAAGACTATGATTTATTTGTTATTTGTATTGAGTAGCTTTTAAAATTAATATAATTTGAAAGACTTTTTATATTATTTTATAGTTAATATATAAGAAATTTGATGTCTTCTCAAATTCCATAGCTCATGATTACAGAATAACCTATGGATGAATACTAGGATTTTATTAGTTATTCACTATCTGATGTTTGTTTTTCAGCCAGTAAGTTCAAGAATAAAGGTAATAATGTGAGTGAGAATTCAATTGATTAGGTTTACTAATAACATATAAATTCCACTCCCCTTTCTCCCAACAATAATATTAATTTAACTAAACCAACTAATGACTCTTCAGATTAAAAATAAATTATATAAGGGTAACAACGTAATAGTGTAAGTTCAACTTAAGAAAAAATATATAGAGACTTTTTTCAGTACTTTTTGATTCAAAAATTTGTACATAAAATATCATTCAAAAAGAAATTGAATTCAATGTTTGATAAATATCATTTCGATGTGATTAATGATTTAGGAGCAACATTTAATTTAAATTTATTTAGAGAGAATACAATAAAAATGCGACCAATTATAGTCAAATAGGTTTAATAGATGGAAAATAAATGCTTATTAAAGTTTAATAAGTGTTTATTGTTGTTATCTCAAAAATGGAACTATTGTCTTAATAAAATTCCATTAATTTACCCAGAATCAAAATTAAAAATGCTATGGGATGCAATAGTTACTTTAGCAAGATTTTATTTTATATATGTAATTCCAATGGATTTAGCATGGGAAATGCAATCATTTATGTTTGATATCTTAATAATTCCCACATCATTAATGCTGACTTTATTAATAATAGATTTTATATTAAGTTTTAATAATGCTTATTATGAGTTTGGATCAATAGTAACAGATCGAAGAAAAATTGCATAATATGTCTTTACTAAAACATATGGATTAGATATATTGTCAGTATTGATTTTGATAACATTTTTGATTATTTCAGTTGTTCAATCGTAATATGTGAGATTAACTGAAAATTGGTATCATTTACTATTGTTATTATTTCTAATATAATATAAGAATATATCTAAACTATCAGAATAAGTTGAAGAGGCTTTAAATTTATCAAAATAAGTTAGTTCATTATTAGAATTAGGGAAATTAATATTTTTACTCTTTTTTGTCTTACATATATTTTCTTGTCTTTGGTTTTGGGTTGGAAGCTATTCATATAGAAATGATTATAAAACTTGGTTGAATTTAAAAAATTTAGAGGAAGCTGATTGGAATATATAATATTTATATTCATTCTATTTTTCAACAGTTACTATGTTTACTGTTGGATATGGTGATATTACTCCACAAAGTACTTTCGAGACTGTACTTTGTATAATGTTTATGATGATTTGTAGTATTCAATTATCATACAGTGTTAGTACTGTTGGTGCTATAATTGATAAAATTTCATTCTATTCTAAGGAGAAAAGGAAAAAGGTTTAAACAATAAATACTTATATGTAACACAAGAAGATAAGTTATGAATTACAATTTAAAATTAGAGAATATCTAAATTATTATTGGTAATGTAATTAATAAGAAGAAACAGAAGAAGAGAAGAATATTATAAATTAATTATCAGAAAATTTAAGAGAAAGTTTACAATTTGAAGCTAATTCAATGATATTAAATACTTGTCCATTATTTAAAAATCATTTTAGTGATTAATTAAAAAAGAAATTGGTAAAAAAGATAAAATCAATAGTAGTTTAACCAGAAAATATAATTGATTTTAATCATTTATTTCCAAGTTAAAAAATGAATTAATTTATATGTTTTGTAGAAGAAGGAGAAATACAGATATTTATAGAAAATGAAATGTCATAAAATCATGTTTCATATAATTCAATATCAATAGTTAATACTGTATTTAAGGGTAGTAGTCTTGGTTTGATGTCATTCATTACAGGAATAAAGGCAAGAGAAAGATTTAAAAGTATAGGATTTTCAAAATTATTATTATTATCTAGAGATGATTTTCTTAAAATTATACCAGAATTTCCTGAAGATTATGAAGTTTTCAGAGAAATGCATGATGATTTAATTTATAATTCAGATTCTGAATTTCTAAAATTAGCTTGTTTTTCTTGTAAAAGTGTTTCACATAAAGTTATTGATTGTCCATTAGTTCATTTTATACCTGATAAGGAATATTTAGTAAAAAAACATTAATTTTCAAGAGAATAAAAAAGAAATGAAACTTTTAAATTTAAATTTAGGAGAAATCCTAAAAGATAACATGGTTATTTTTCAGCTTATAATGATTTAGATCTAATTTAAGAAACTAGTGATTTATTTTAAGCTGATAATTATAAATAATGTTTATTTTATGAAGAACTTGATGATGAAGTTGAAAAATCAAAAATACAATCAATAAATATTACAAAACCTTCTAATTATTTATAATAAGATTCAATTAAAGAAGAAAATGAAGAAGATGTTTAGGTAGCTATGAACTTTTTAAATCAAAGAAAAAGTTAAATTAATAAAATTACTAAAAAATCAATATCTTTATTAGTAGATGAAGATTTAGTGCCATTATAACATTTTAAAGGAATAAATAAATTTAAAAGAGCAGTAGAAGTTGTTAAAAGTTTGAATAAAATTACCAATCGAAAAAGTTTTAAGGCTTAGACTAAAAATATATTGGCATCATTAAATATTGATAATTATAAGGATTCAGAATAAAAACAATTATTAAATGGGATAAAAAAGAGATTAAAATATATAGAAGACCATAATATAGAATGGTTGGAAAAAGATATTTAAGAAATGGAATTTTTAAAGATGAGATTATAAATGTTAATTAAACTTAATGCTTAGAAGCCTGAAAAATTTGATTAAATAGAAAGTGTAAAATAGTATAAATTTTATAATATACATAATAATGTGGATTAGATATTGACAATTTATAATGATTTTTATAAAGTTAAGTTGAAAGAATTATCAAATATTCCTTAAGTCTTTAAGTAATTTGTTAGGTATTTGATGTATCCATATTCTTTTATTCATAAATACAAATTTAAATCTGACAATTTTAATGTAAGAGAAATTAAATAGGAGGATACAAATTAAAAAAAAAAGAATAATAAATTCTCTAAATTATTGACATTACATAAATAAAGTAAAAATTTACGTAAGAAATTAAATGTGAAGAAAGCTTAAATATAACCACTATGATTAAATAAATAATAATAAATATCATTATTAAATTTCTTGCAATTATTCTCTATAAAATAAAGAGTCAGGATGATTTTTAGGAAGTGTTTTGTCTAATATTTGTATACATTTTGTCAAACATTATTAAGCTGATTAAATGTTTCCAATTTATTTTAATAAGATACCAAGATTCCCATAAGTAGTGGCAACAAGTGGATGATCATCACCTGATTAAGATTACTTTAAAATAACTAATGCATCAGCAAAGAATTTTTAGCTTTTATCATATTCTTCTAAATGTTTACAAGAATTTCCTATATTATTTAATGTTAGGGCAACTTCAACATGAGTATCTCCTAATTTACTCTTTTTAATAACCAATGCTTTTTCATATTATGATTTTGCTTAATGATAATCTTCCATTTCAAAAAATACATTTCCTAAGACTTCTATTGTTGAAGCCACTTCCAAATTACCAGAACCTTAAATTTTTTCTCTAATAGCTAATGCTTCTTCTATATTTTTCTTAGCTTTCCCTAAAGATCCTTTTAATCGTTAAATTTCTCCTAACATTGTTAATCCTTATGCTTTTAATAACAAAGCTGAATTTTACAATTATTAATTTTAATTGTTATAACTTAACATACTCTATTATAAATTTTAATGACCAGAAGCATGTCCTAAAATTAAAATGTATAATTAAACCTTCAGTAACCCTAAGCCCTTTTTTAACTTTTTTAAGGGCATGTTTATAATCACCTAATAAGGAATGAACTTTTCCTAAATTGATGCTCATTTTTGCAAATTCTAGACTATCAGATCCTTTTTCTTGTTCAGTTATTCTACATGCTTCCTCTAGAAATGAACGAGCTCTAGTTAGATTTCCTTATAATCTATAACCATTTGCTAGATTTTCCAATAGAAGTGCACCTTCATAACTGTCATCTCCATTATGACTAAAAATACATATAAGAAAACGAATTACGCTTTTCTAATACAATCCAAGGCTCTTTCATAATTATCTAATGCTTCATTTAATTTGTTTTATTCTCTTAATTAATGTCCAATTTCATTATATAGAATACTAGCTTTTATAAAATAATCTTAAGCACTAGTCAAATTATTAATATCAATAAATCCATTAGCAATATCAAATAGAACTTCTGCAGCATGAAGATCATCTTTAGCATTTTCATAAGTGACTAAAATTTCTTCCATTTTTTCAAGCCACTTTTCCCATTCAAATAGATCATAATAGGCAACAGCAATTAATTAATAAACTTTAGTAGATTCAATTCCAGCATATTTTTTCTTATATTTCATACTTTCAACAAGATTATCTTCATTAAGTGGTATTTCAGATAAATATGATTTAGTAAATAATGATAATTCAGCAGGAGTTAAACGACTAGATTCATCACCTACTAACATTAGTTTTAAGACATCATGATAATCATTACTAGTACCTCTACTACCATTTCTTTAATTATTAAGTTTTCTGACTACATTTCTTAATTCAGAACTTTCAAAATTAACTTCCAATTAATCCATCATCAAAATATTTAATCCTAATTAATATACATCAGCTAAAAATGGATTATATCTTCCAACAGTTTATGCACCACTTGCATCTACATATTTTTATACTTCTGGTGGTAAATAATCAGGTACACCTCTAATTGTATTTAATAATTCTTCATTTTCTTATTAGATATTGATTCCTAAATTATTAAGAGATAATTAATTATGAAGAGTTTATGGTTTTTTAACAAGTTTTGCTTCTTCAAATCCTCCAATTTTATATGTTTTACTTTGAGAACAATACCAAATATTATGAGGACGTAAATCTCTATGTGTAATATTTAATTATTCTAATTATCCTAATGCTTAAGCTAATTCACCAAATACATGTCTTATTTCATCAGATGTCCATTACCAATTATGAAATTTACGAAAAGATATTATTTCATGTAATGTTGAATCACAATATTCCATTAATAAAATGATTGATCCTTTAGAGTATTCTTTATCTTCATTTTCTAAAATGTAACAATCATGTAAATATATCAAATTCTTACATTTATTTCCAATTAATTACATGATATAGATTTAATATAAAGCTTATTTGAATTCATAATCTTCATAATCATTAAAATTGATCACTCTTAATGTATATTTATTACCTGTTTTCTTGTCAATAACTCTTAATAATGATGTTTCAAAACAATTAGGATCAATAATAACAGACTATATTATTAACAATCATTATACTTCATCTATATACCAATCTAATTCATCTTTGTAAGAATAGTCATGACAAACTACTCGTATAGATACAACAACAGAATCGTTAGTGGCTAAATGACTATATGGTTTAAGGTTTAAAATGAAATCTTATTGTCTTTCATTAGAAAAGATATCTATAGATCAATCTCTGTTATACCTTTCTTATCATTTTCACCACTTGATATTAATACTTAATGAAATCGTTATGATTCAGGTTTTAGTTTTTATTATAATCTTACTGGAATAGCTTAAGCAAATGCCTATTCATTTGCATCTCTATTGATTGGCTAATTTCCACAACATTGATTACCCATTTTGATTTTTATTACGTTAAATTATTATATTAAATTATTATATATAATTATATATATTTAAATTTCAAATAATGGAACCAGAAAGATCAAAAGAGATTCTTAGTAATTTATTAGCTAAATAAATTGATTTAAATGAATAACTATAAAATGAAAATGATGAATTAAATACAAATTTAAAGTAATTTATTATAAGTATCTTTTAGACGATTGCTAAATCTCTTAAATTAAAAAGATAGTTAATTAGAATAAATAAAAGACAGAATAATTTAAGTAGATTAAACAGAGAATTAATATTAAACAACAATATCTAATCAAATATAACAAATAAAATAAATATAATTTGATAATTAAGAATTATAATTATAAATCTAATAATAATAAGAAATTAGATTTAAGATGGAATAGGAGTTGAATAAAATAATTGAATCTTTTGAGAGAATGTAAAAAATTAATTAGTAATAATAAGAAGAAATTAATTTGTTATAAGAAAGAAATCAACAATTAGAAGAAACTTAAATTACTAATTAAATTTAAATTGAATAAACTTAAAAACAAATTAAATTACTTGTTAGTTCTAATGAAGATTATGAATAATAAACAGATATTCTATTAAAATAAAATAATGAACTCAAATAAATATAAATCAAATTACTATATAATTTAGATGCAATATAAAAAGAAAAAGATGAATTGACAACATAATTTGATGAAAAATTAATTCAATTCAAATCTTGTTTCCAAAGTTCTGCTGAAAATACTAAAGATTTAACTAATTAAGTTAATGAATTAACTAATCAAATTCAAATTCTATAAAAATAAGTAATTTCCTTATTTCTATTATTAGAATTAATAATTAATTGAATAAATTAATAATTATTAATAACTTTCTGTAAAATTAGAATAAGAAAGAGATAAATATCATAAAGACTTAGAAATTACTATTTAAAATAATACAAGATTATAAAATAGTAATTCAAATCTGGAAAATTAATTAACTTAAATATCATAAGATCAAGAAACATCTATCAAAAAAGTATTTAATATAATTTTAAATTTAGATGAAATATATGATTGAATAAATTGATGAACTTGAATTAACTAATGATAGTTAATTAAAATAAAATAATGAACTTAAGTAATAAATCAAAAAACTATAATTTTAATAAGATTAACTTCTAAAAGAAAAGGAAGTTATTTATGAATAATTTGAATTAATCTAAAAAAATGCTCAATATGATCATGAAGGACATAGAGAAAAATATATCAAATTAGATAGAACTTATAAAGAATTTCATTCTTAATATGATGAATTACTAAATAAAGTAATTATCTTCTTTTATTTTTATAGTATAACATATAAAATTAAAGTTATGAAGAATAATAAAATCAAATTCAATAGAATATCAAAGAAATTAATGAACTCAAACATAATTTAAGAATCCTTCAAGAATCTGAAAGAAAACATTCTTATAATGCTGATATAATAAGTAAAGAGAAGTTTATGATTACTTAAAAATTGGAAGAATCTTTCTAAATAATCAAAGATTTAAGAGATTAATGTTAAATTCTTACAGAAAAATTATAAAAAATTGAAATTTTTAATAAATAATTACTTTTGGAAAATGAACAATTATAAAAATAAGTAATTAACATTTATATATTTAAAGATTAAAGTATAAGAAGGTAAAATTGAGGAACATGAAGTTCATATAGAATTATTATAAGTTTAAATAAATCACAAATAAACTTAATAAGCAGAATTGGATAGATAATAATCATTGAAATAATCAACTACAAAGAAGAGTTAATCAGTCAATAAGGAAAATAATAGTGAATTAATTAGATTAAAGAAATAGAATACAGAATTAACAAAAGAAGCTATTTCTTTAAATGAATAGATTTTAGAACTTAAAGTAATTGATTATATATATTTAAAAGAATGTCATTAATAAACTAAATGATTAATTGGCATAATAAAATAAAATAAAATTAGGATTAGAATCAAGAATATAAAGTTTAATTAAAGTAGTTGAAGAGTTTTAATAAAAATAAATTTAAAAGCAATAAGATAGTTTAACAAAAGAATAATTTCAAAATTAAATAGAGTAAATAAAAAAGAACTTTTATATTTAGATATAATAATTAACAAGAGAAAATGAAGAACTTAAAAAATTATTATAAACTTAAGCAAATCAAACTTTTAATTCTACAGAAGAAGTGAATTCTTTACAAGATACAGTAGCAGATTTAAATAGAGAGAAAGTAAACTTAATCAGAGAATTGAATTAAGAACATGAAGCAAAAAATAAATCTGAGGCTGAAAGAGATAAATTGAAATAATAAATTGAATAATATCAACTTGAAATTGAAAATTGTCAAAATTAATTAGATCTCTATGTTAAAGTATTAAAATAAATGGATGAAAAGTTAAAATAGTAATAATGATAATACATTTTTTTTACATTTGAATATTTCTCCTTAATATATATTATTTATTTCAATATTCTATTCTAAATATTTAATCATATATTGGTAATTACAAAAAAATAAAAAACTCATACCTCATTAGATTGAATTATTTAAGTATTATATTTCTTTAAATTAATGTTGTTCCTATGAATAATTATTATTATAAGAACATAATATAAATAGAAATTGATGTCAGAGTAAATCATAAAGAAGTGCAACAAAATAATATTGATGTAACTAAAATTCAATCTTAATTTACTGATAAAATATTTCTTCATTAATTAATTTGTTTTCAATTTGAAAACATTTATTCTCATCATGAAAAAGTTGATATATTAGTGTAGAAGCTTTCATTATTTGCTAAATTTTGATGAAAACTACTTATGTTAGCAAATTTAAGGATTAACCTATTTCTTATATTTGACACAGATTTTTAATATAGGTGGAGAATTCAAACCATAATCTGATATTATGTATGAAATAACTTAATAATAGCACAATATATTCTCTGATAAGAGGAACATTCATTTTTAACATAATTGATGAGAAATACTCCACTATAATTCAGATTCTCTTTTTAATTTTAAATATAATCCTCATAATCAGTTTATGTGCAAACCTTATACTTAATTACATTAAAAATTCAAAGGAATGGAAACTAATCATTATTATCATCAATTTAGTTATTAATGTATATCCTAATATATTTTATATACCAATCATCTGGTTAAATATAAAATTATGCTTTACATAATCCCTAATGCATTTTACTATAGCATTAATAAACTTATCAATAGCTATATTTTTAACATTTCTTGTTATCTTTTTTTAGAGAGGAGACTCTCTTCATTAATATGAAAATGCTAGCAATAATATAATTTTGATAAGAATTTTAGTAAAGCTTTTTGAGTTTATTGCTATTTATTTTTCATTCTTAAATAATACATTGACATGTATTTTTTAACTAATTGTTTTGATGTCTAATATATCACTTAATGCATTTAAATTTACTGAGTAATCTGATTTAAAAGTAAGACAAAACCTATTATTTTTGGTTTTAAACATTACTTTATAAGCAAACCTTACTTTTATGGATTACTTGATAATTTCAACAGTGATTTAGTTATTTTATACATAATTATTGAATATTAGAACTCAGGAAATTCTAGTAAAAGGTGATTCAATATTATTATGTTAATTAGCAGAGAAAATCTATAAGAATTGTTTAATTGATAAATAAGCTAGGATATAGTTGTAGATATTTAAAAATAATCATAAATGTGTGAAATGCAAGGCTTTTTATGATATAATAGAATGTATTCTAAAGAGAAAAGGAAGAAATGAAAGAGATAAATTAATATATGCTAATTTTGTATAAAAGAAATGGCCATTACGAGCATTAGTTGAATTACATAAAGAGTAAAATGAAGATTTTTATTATTAATCAGCATTATTAACATTTTAAAAATTAAATATTTCAAAAATAGAGATTGCTAATTATATTTATACTGCATATAAATCTTAGAATGTATGTTAATTAATAATTGATCAACTTTAGAAAATAATGGAAAATCAAATAAAATTTTGGAATGAAATAATTATGAATTAATTTGATTTGTTATTATTTTATTAATAATCTAGAAGAATAGGATTAGAAATTAAGTAATTGAATTTATTATTTGAAAAAATATATAATTTGAATAATCATAAAATATGGGGTAGTTAAACATTAGATGTGATTAGTTTAAGATTGTAATAGGTATATTATTGTGTAGTAAATGTTGATTTAGTAAAAGTATTTAAATACTAATATATTTTAGGCTTAATAAATGGAGGAGAAGATTAATGAAGTATTTAGATATGAAAAGTATCAATAATTCATGACTATTGATAGCAATTAATTAGTAATGAGTATAAATGTTATTTACGTTAGACAGATCACTACAATTAAGAACTTCTTTAATCTATAATGTAAACAAATTGATCAAACCAAATTATTAATAGATGAGTCAATTTCTTGAAACTTCAACTGAAGAAGCATAATTAATTAAATCAAATTTAGATTTAATGCCTTCCTTTTTGGCCAATATCCATGATTAATTGACTGAAGCCTTCATTTAAAAAGGATAATCTCATCTATCTCAATAAGGTTAATAAACATTTTTTCAGAATCTTAAGGGATACATAGTCCCTTGTTATGTTCATATTTTACCAATTTAAGGAGAAAATGATTATATCATTAATGCAATATTAACTAAAGAGTAAAATTATAATGAGTCAATTATATTTGGTATGAATGGGAGATTATATGGAATGACTTAGAGTTATTTTGAGTTTACTTTATAAAGTTTGATTTTTGATAATTATTCTAAAAGAATTTCAATTAATGAGATAATAGAGAAGGGTGCTTTAATCTAATATTATATAGAAAATATAATTGAATAGATATATAATTTAAAATAAAATATTGAAAAGCATTAAAATTATACTTTAAATGAATTAGTATCATATTGGTAATATCCAGAAAATCATTTTAATTGTGTATTTAGTACTAATTAAATAATGAGATAATAATATTCATCTAATCATGTATTATCTTTTTCTAATTTTATGTCATAAAAAACTTATTTATAAATTTCAAAACCTAGTACAGTGTAGATTTCAGAATTTGAAGAATCATTATAAAATAGCAAAGAACTCAATTTTGATGGATGTGAATGGTAGATATTGAATAATAATTATAATAATTCTATTAGATAAATGTTGGATTAATTGGGTGATAGTCATAAAATAAATAAAGGTAGAATTTAATTAATATATTCATTGTCTTTTAGAAAGATATAAATTGGTAAAAAAATGTTTGGATATTTTATATTAGAAATTAAAGATTGTAAATAAGATTATACACAAAAAAATACTTCTAATTATTTTAATTCTTATTAAACTAGAAAATCAGAATCAAGCAAGATTAATAAATCATCATATGATTTTCCAGTAGAAGATGTTGAAATAATTAATTCTGAGAGACCATAATCAAATGAGGAAATAGAGAATTAGATTAAACATATTAAATTAAAGAATCATTTATTATATTTAAATAAAATAGAACATGATAGATAAATATTATTTAATAATTACTTATCATCTGTTAGTGTAACAAAATAAAAAATGTAATCTTATGATTTTGAAAATACTTCTAGATTATTAAAATTATAAACTGATAGATAACCTAAAAAACAATTATTAACTACTAGAATAGAATTATAAAGTATTAATATTTAATAAGATGATGATGATATAATTTAAGCAGTTGAATAAGAATTTTAAGAGATTATTTTTGAAAGAAAAGTAATCAATTAATAAGAATAAGATGAAGATAATAATGATTAAAAAAAAAGAGATTAATATATTAAAGAATCTAATCTAAAATTAAAAACTAAGGCTTAATTTGAATTAGCAAGTAATCAAACTTTTAAAAAGAAAATCAATATTCTTAAAGATGCATTTTTATATCTGGATCATATCTCATAATCAAAATTTACACTATCTTGTTTAAAAAAATTTACATATTTTTCTATATGTGTAATCTTTTTGTTAATTATTAATATAGTGATAGAAAGTTATGAAGTTTAAGATCATATACAAGGTAATGATAATTTTATATAAAATACTTTAACCTAAGTAGAATTCCATAAATCACTTGCAATCAAATTAAATTTACATGCCATATTTAAATTGTCTTAATTATCAATAATTAATTAAAATTAGTAAATTATTTAAATGGCTTAAACCCAAGCCTAGTCAATTTATAATCAAAATATATATAATAAGGAATATTAAATTTTGAATCATTATATTAATGATGAGAATCTAGATATACAATAATTTCATATTATTATAGAATAGTTTAATAATGAAATGAGATAAATATACTATAATTCTACATTTTTAACATTTAATTTTACAAATCATAAACATTATATGTTTACATATTTCTATAGAACTATTATATAAGATTTGGATAATTACAAGGATTAACAACCAGATTTAATTTAAACTATGGTGTTTACAATATTAAGCTTTTCTTTTGTCATATATTAAATAAGATTTTTATATGAAAAGTAATAAGTTATTATTTAAATTCTTAAATTGATATAATAAACAAATATATTAAAAATATAGAATCATATAGCTAGACTATCTATAATCAAGGAATCATTTAAAATAGATCAAAATTAACCTTATGAAACTAATTCTAAGAATTGGAAATTAACTTCTTATATATCTATTGTTTAAGAAGACCCTCATTTAGAAAGATAATAGAACAAAAAAATCCATGAATTAGAAGGAAATCTAAATCATCGTTACATATTTCCAAATTTTATTGTAGTTACTGTGTTATGTTTATTTATTTTAACAGGATCAGTATTATAATAAAACTATTATAAAGATAAATTTTTAGAAATTGAGAAATCATTTATAAAGTTAAATCTGGCACTTGATTCTGGATTACTTTATGGAACTCTCATTAAAACCAACAGGATTTTAGATATATCAGATTAATTGGCTTAATAAATAATTATTCATTTTTATGATTGTATGAATTTATTGATTGAAATTTCTAATGATATAATTATTAATCTTGAATATCTGTAAGAAGATTCAATACTTAATTTATTAATTTCTGATTATTGTTTAAATTATAGAGATGATATAAAATATTGTTATGATGATTAATATCCATATAAAGAGATGCATTCATTGATTGATAGAGGAATGATGAGTTTAATTAATAATATTGAAAAAGTAAAGATTACAGAATTTCTGTTTGAATTATCTAATAATTAATTTGAGACTAATCCAGATGAACTTCTGAATTTTCTTAAAAGTCAAACATTTATTAATACATTTTTAGTGTATTTTTCTGAAACAACAAATATTTTTAGTTAATAATTAGTTGAAATATATAATTTCGAATACGAATATTATAACAAATATATTTTAGTAATATTATTTTATGAAATAGCTGTTGGTATTAGGTATTTATTTAATATATAATTTAATAGTGTTGGATTAATGTATTTATTATATGGATATTTGACACAATTATATCATAAAATAGACTTTTAATATATCATCTTTTTTTTAAGGACAATACCATATGAATAGATTCAATAAAAAAACTTTTTGCATTAAATGAAAATCATTATGAAAGGACAATGATCTTTAATATTAATTAATACATAAGATTTTTTTTAAGGAGATGATATTTATAAATTAGATATTCATTTATTTTAATACAACATATCACTATATTCTGCTAATGTAGGTTATCTTATTTTTTTAAATGCTTTTTTTATTAATTTAACACCACCAGAGAATCGTGTTGATCCATTAGGAATTAATTATCCTAATTTTCTTAATTTATATCCTTTTTTAATAGCCATAAAGTAAAATGAATAAAGAGAACTTTCAGGATATAATCTCTTTTTACCAAAAAATTTTTATGCCCTTGCATATCTTAATAAATAATTTATATTAAATACCTTTTGATTACAGCATCATAATTATTAAATGGTTAATAAAACTAAAAGATACACATTTTATCAAAATTTTAAAAAATCGTAGTAATAGTAGGAGCTTATAATAACTGATAGGCATTATTATTTTAAGTCAAATTATCTGTAATCAAAGTTGGATCATCATTATGTGTTCTTGTTCTTGAAGTTATTTTTCTAGCTTGTTCTCTCGCTAAATTATTACGAATTTCAAGATCAGATTGATTTTTTGAATGTCCTTACTATTTAGAAATTCTAATTTCTGTAGGTATTTTAGATGGATCATCTCCAGACCCACTTCTTGAAATCAGCTTCTTTGATGATTAATATTTATTAATTAATTCATTTGATTTTTGTTAATTATGTGATTAAAGAGGAATAACTTAATCCTGTATTTCTAATGAATCTTAGGATTCACTCAATTATTATACATTCCAGGCAACTATTGTTATTTTATAATACAATACTATCTTTAGTTTTAGTATTACGTCCAAACCCAGCTGTCTAAACAGTTTAACGTGGAGGACATTATTTACGATGATATCCTTTATTGTCTAATTCTTATTCTTCAATATCTACTTATTGTTGTTATTATTTTGAACTTACTTTACTAAGACTTATTGATTAACTTCTTTGTTAATTTATAGAAGAAGGTAAATCTATTAAATAAAATAATTTATTTACCATCATCATCATCATTTTCATATGCATCATTCATAGGCATTGTATGTGAATCTCCATCATCAATATCAGTACCACCCTTTTCTTATTAATACAGATCCTAAATTAGATCATGTGCTCTTGCTGAATAAAACTTCTACATTGTTAATGCACTAACTACTTTTGTTGTCTTATTTCTACTATAAACCATACTTCTGAATTATTCTACAGGAAATAATTCTTTTTTTAATATTTTCTCTTGATCAGCACAAAAATGTAAAATGTGACAATTATTTATAAGATGTCTATTGCTTTTACAACTATAACAATTTAATTATAAAGAAGAGAATTCATTATTTATTAATCTATCTCTAGTATCACAAAATTTTTCATAATCATTTGGAAATTATTATAAAATAGCTAAAAAATTTTCTCTTTTTATTTTAAATGCCCTAGTAAATCCTTTTGAAATAGCAGTAGCTATTCTAGGATTTCCTGTAAAAAATGCAACTTCCCCAAAACATTCATATTATTTAAGTACTTTTATTGAATTTCTTTTTATCATTTCTCCTAACTAATTTTTACCTGAAAATATTAATTCTACTTCTCCTTTAGTAATCATATATAATGAACAATCATCTATTTAATTACATGTAATTATTTTCTCATCTGGACTAAATGATAATTCTTCCATTTATTGAAGAAGATTCTTAAGTAATTATTCAGAAAACAATTTCATGATGATTTTACAATTCTTTAGAATATTACCTCGTAATTAATATTATAATTCATCTTATAGATGTCTACTTAATTTTTTCACAATAGATCCAACTTCATCATCATTCATTTCTTATTCTTCTTACCAAATATATTCTAAATAACTTCTTATTCTAGTCTGTAAATCAAATTAGATTTTGTTTTTAGACATAAATGTATTAATTAAAGTAACTGTTCTACTATATTCCATAGTTCCTTTATACATATTCGACACAAATATTCCTATACTATTAACAGAATATGCAAATACTATGCTTGCTACAAACATAGTGATATTATTAATTAGTAATTCCAGATCATTTTAAGCTGTAATATCTCCATAACCAACAGTTGTCATTGTCATTGTTGCCCAATATATTGAATAATTGTATCTTGTTCCATTAGTTCTCTCTCTTAAGTTGTAGGCATCCAACCAAGAATAATTTGTAGTATAATGAGCTATGCCATGCCATGTACATCCACATATGTGAGCTATAAATATAATTATCATTAATAATTTCATTAGACCAACCATATCATTAAGTGATCCATTGAGATTAAAAAATCTAAATAAAATAAAATTAATATTACTCTTAGATTTATGCTAATATCTTATTTATTTTTGTTATTCTAAGAATGTAGAATATTGCACCCAGTACTATTTAAATGATGAGCATGTTACTGTCTTTTGAACTAAGGTATGGAATAAAGAATTAAGCTGAAACTGTGGATAATGAGACCATAAATAAAATGTTATAATTACTAAATCTACAAATGCGTATTAATTGAAATAATTGATTATTACTCTTTTTCTATCTTTGATAATTTATCCCTTATGAATAAATGCCAAATTAAGTCCAACTACTACATCCAATGACAAAATTGAAAGGAGCACTATTTCAATAATCTTGCTGCCTCTATCCCCATTAAATAATTCGCTTATGTAATATATTTCAAAAGAGATTTTGTAAGGTAACCAAAAGAAAATCATAATATAAGTAAGAATTTGGAAGACATCCCAAATCACTATGAATTTACTATATGGAGTAAATACATCAATTAGGTTACATAAAACTAGAGATTTAATTAAGGATTTCTAATTTGGATAATTTATATTTGAAAACCCATCCTATTCAAATTATAAATCATCTAATTATTCAATTTAATAATGAGATAATTGATATAGTTTCCTTAAATAGGATCTATTCCAAAGGTTATTAATGAAGTTATTTTATAAACTTTTTGCAATGATTAATCTCAAAAATTAAGGTTTGCTATCTTTCTCAGATTCTACTTCATCTACTTCATAGGCAGATTGAAATTCAGATCTCCTTCCTATAAAAGTTTTTTATCTTTCTGCGTTTTTTGGAGTTAGAGGAGGAGTGATTTACAATTTCATATTTTCTGGAAGTATAAAGGAATTAAAGCTTCCTGCTTAAATATCACCTTCTTGCAACACTATCTTATTACTTAAGAGATGATGAATTGGACCTTTAAATTCTTTATCTTGTGAATTATTTCGAATAATACTATCTGAGAAATCAAACATAAATTATAATATTTTTTGGTTTGATTTTATTTTAAATCAATAGATTATAATAATTAATTAGATAATATTAAGATCCTAAGTAATCTAACTATATTAATACACTGTGAAATGTTTGTTAAATATTCAATCAATTGGAAAATATTTAAAATAATAGAAATTTATTCACTTCTATTTAAAGGTATTCCTAAAATTATTATAAAATAATTCACTTAAGTATTCTTTAAATAGTTAATGTTAGATATATATTATAATATTTATAGTATTTAATAGAATACTTTAAAAAGTTTTTTAGAGTCATGTTATGTAGTTGATAGATAAACAAATCCAAATAAATTAAAGGGGGCTATACTTCCACATTTAGAAGGATAGTATTGAAGTCTAAGATATTTTAAAGATATTGCTCATTTCATCTATTTTCATAAATTATAATTTGAATATTTAAATATAACCCTTAAATTTTGGATGTATAAGGATTAAATTGTGTGAATTATAACTTAAATAGTCAGAGTGATTGAATAATAATTCAGATGTATTTTCACACTTCATTAATTCTTGACTATGGATTTCTTGATAATCATTAAATTGTTCAATTCATACCATAACATTAATAAAGTTAAAATTAATTATGTTAATATCTATGTAATATTCTGATTAATTAAATATGTAATGGTAGGAATAATTTACAAAGCTTGCATGCATTCAATCTTTAATTAAATAATTATTCATTATTTTATTCTAAATTTAATAATTTTTATTAATTCACATAGATAATTAATTTAAACAACAATCAAATAATATATAAAATCATAACAAATTGACAGACTAAGTTCATCAAAGACAATTAGTAATTTAAGAATTTGTGAATGCTTGTTGTATTCTCTATAATTATAAATGAATAAAAGGGTATATTTACATGATAGATTTTATAAATGATATAGAGTAGAATTTCATGTGTATTGATATATGAATTATAGATTGATATTGTTAATTATGATTATGAGATATAATTCATTATTGTTCTTATTATTGATTATATTTCTGAATATACTTTTAGAATTTTTAAAAATTAGCATCACTATTAACATCATATGATTATGTATAATCTTCTTCATTTTCAAACACTACTTGTTTAGTTGGAAAATATTTCTTAAATACTTGGCGATTGCCTTTAGCATATTCAGCAGCTCTCCTGATTACTTCTTCATTTGACAAATTCTCTCTTTAGCCCTTATTTAATCATGAGTAACTTACAGGGAATCCTCCACTTCTCATTTTGTAGAGTTGCAAAAATGATTGTAATTAAGCTTATTAATCAAATTCATCAAATTGAATTCCTCTTAAATACAAATCAACATTATCCCATACTGAATGTATTTCATCAGTAATTTATGTGAATTGTGAAGAGACACTTTCATTTTTGGGTCTAATAGATTAGGATTCCTTCTTTGGTCGTATTTCTTCAATTGGTTCTTCTAAGACTTCATCTAAATTCTCATTATTTTAAATGAATTAATCATGGGATTTGCTTAATTTTAAATTTTGTTGATTTATTATTTATTAATCCTAAGATATTTTATAGTCTATATTATGTTGTTGTATAACAGGTCTATCTTCTTCTTTCTTTTCTTCCTTTAATCTATCTTTTTCAACACTAGTCCTTCGAGATTATCGTAATGAAAGAGTATCAATAACAGTTCTCCTAAATGAAAACAAATTTTTATGTGATGATTCTCCCTCATCTTCAGACCTTGGAGAATTTAACGATGGTAGAGTAGGCATAGTTCTATCTGTAGGTAATTATTTAAAATGAGGACGTTCTTTAACAACTGCTTTAATGGTATCTCTAGTTTTAGTTTTCATATGTAAACGTGAATTGGGAATATGTTCTGATGACCTATTAGGAATATTCATAGTTCCGATGCTCTAATGATTTGAAATATCTTACCTAATTTATGGTAATTTGAGAGTAGATCTAACAATTAGATTTCTATCAATAGGTTTTCCAATAAAACTTTTTTGATATTACTTCATTTTTTATGATAATATANAATTTTTATTAATTCACATAGATAATTAATTTAAACAACAATCAAATAATATATAAAATCATAACAAATTGACAGACTAAGTTCATCAAAGACAATTAGTAATTTAAGAATTTGTGAATGCTTGTTGTATTCTCTATAATTATAAATGAATAAAAGGGTATATTTACATGATAGATTTTATAAATGATATAGAGTAGAATTTCATGTGTATTGATATATGAATTATAGATTGATATTGTTAATTATGATTATGAGATATAATTCATTATTGTTCTTATTATTGATTATATTTCTGAATATACTTTTAGAATTTTTAAAAATTAGCATCACTATTAACATCATATGATTATGTATAATCTTCTTCATTTTCAAACACTACTTGTTTAGTTGGAAAATATTTCTTAAATACTTGGCGATTGCCTTTAGCATATTCAGCAGCTCTCCTGATTACTTCTTCATTTGACAAATTCTCTCTTTAGCCCTTATTTAATCATGAGTAACTTACAGGGAATCCTCCACTTCTCATTTTGTAGAGTTGCAAAAATGATTGTAATTAAGCTTATTAATCAAATTCATCAAATTGAATTCCTCTTAAATACAAATCAACATTATCCCATACTGAATGTATTTCATCAGTAATTTATGTGAATTGTGAAGAGACACTTTCATTTTTGGGTCTAATAGATTAGGATTCCTTCTTTGGTCGTATTTCTTCAATTGGTTCTTCTAAGACTTCATCTAAATTCTCATTATTTTAAATGAATTAATCATGGGATTTGCTTAATTTTAAATTTTGTTGATTTATTATTTATTAATCCTAAGATATTTTATAGTCTATATTATGTTGTTGTATAACAGGTCTATCTTCTTCTTTCTTTTCTTCCTTTAATCTATCTTTTTCAACACTAGTCCTTCGAGATTATCGTAATGAAAGAGTATCAATAACAGTTCTCCTAAATGAAAACAAATTTTTATGTGATGATTCTCCCTCATCTTCAGACCTTGGAGAATTTAACGATGGTAGAGTAGGCATAGTTCTATCTGTAGGTAATTATTTAAAATGAGGACGTTCTTTAACAACTGCTTTAATGGTATCTCTAGTTTTAGTTTTCATATGTAAACGTGAATTGGGAATATGTTCTGATGACCTATTAGGAATATTCATAGTTCCGATGCTCTAATGATTTGAAATATCTTACCTAATTTATGGTAATTTGAGAGTAGATCTAACAATTAGATTTCTATCAATAGGTTTTCCAATAAAACTTTTTTGATATTACTTCATTTTTTATGATAATATATATATTAAAAAGTAAATTTTATAATATTTAATTTATATAATATATATATAAAAATTAAATATTAAATGTTCATAGACAACATTATAGATGTGCCAATCGTTTATGAATGTTCCCTTAATAAGTATCTCCTATTAAATATGCTAATTTATGTGCATATTAAACGCAAGATGGTACTCTAAATAATAATAATTTGAAATAAATACCTAACTGCCCCAGTCCAATTTTAATAATTGAAACATTGATAATAAGTTAATTACCAAAATAATTCTTCACTAAAATTTGTATTATTCTCTAAAACTCTATAATGAGTTGGAGTACATGTACCTTAAGTAACATATTGAGCAGTAATGAAATAATCAAAATAAGATGATGTAATCTTATCTGCAATAACACTTCCTGAAGGAGGATTAGAAAGTTATTATTTCTATTCTTAATGATTACCACTATTAACCATAAAGAAACGATCATTTATTTTCTTATTAATCATAATAACAGCAAATTATGGATTGTAATTCTTATTGATACTCTTTATTGCATTTTTCATTTATTGTATTTCAGTTTATTTAAGTGCTTCAATTTAAGCATTACCAACTCCATCTCTAAATACAATTATTGTATCAGGTAGATATTTTCTACCATTCCTATCAAAATAAGCAGATATAGCTTCTACAATCACTCTACCTACTTCATGAGATAATTCTTAACCTTCTCTCATTATGATTGGTTTTGCAAAGGTATTTAAACATTCAGATTCTAAATAAGCAACAAATCCCATACAAGATTTTCGATTAGTTAATAGTTTATGATATATATCAATACCTACTATCATAGTTTTATCTGAAATTCCATTTGGTTTTGGAATAGCCCATAAAGGATTACCTAATTTAATACTCATTTATTAAGCAATTTTTGAAGCAACACTAGAAGGATTTTTAGTTCTTAAGAATTTGCTTAGAATATTTTAATGACTGATCCCTTGATCTTAAAAACAATACTTTTTGATATGTCCATAGATTCTATCTTTATCTCTTTCATTAATAAAAGTAACTATCATTTATGGAGGTTTATCTCCAATTTCAGCTGTTAATCTTTACAACCAATTTTATATATTATTGTCTCTAAGCATAACAAAGTATGGTTTCTCTATTTTGATTCCTATTTTCTCACCTTATTTTTATAATTCTGAAACTATAATATCAACATCATCATCATCATTCTTCCCTCTTGATTAATAAACCATAAACCAATCTTAAATATGAGATCCTTAAAATACAGGATCTTTAATCATAAAAAATCCACTTTAATCAGTTTAATATTCTTTATTACCCATATAAATTCGAGGTGCTTATAGTTGAAATCCACTGACATTTTGATCATCACTCAATAAAATGTTCTATTTACTAAGATGTTTTTTTAATTTCTGATAAAATCCATATATTTCATCATCTCTTTATTATGGTGTTAATTTAGTAAATTTAGCCACACTTTACATGCATTTTTAATCACATCTTTAACGATCAGTTAAGCCTGTCATAGTTAACAATTCAGGAACTAAATATGCAATTTTATCTTAATTTCTTTTATCTTTGAATACTAAAAGCGGTTGTTATAGATCTCTAATTTAAATATTATATCTTTATTTATAATATTCTTAATAAGTGATAGATTTTCCATCTTATAATAAAAATGAATGTTTAGGAGATAAATTAAAATCTATTTCGTCTATTCTATATATTCTACAATTTCCATAAGCTGCTAATACACTCAATCCAATCATTTCATTTTTTATATCTTAAATATTCTTAGTATTGAGACTAAACATGAATTCTAAAGCATTCTAATCTCTAAGTACTCTTGATGCAAAATCAATTTACAGAAATGGCATCCCTTAATAAAATTAAAATGAAGTTTTTACACCTCTCCACACTTTTAATCCATGTTCATTAATCTAATATATAAATTATATATACTCTATTGCATTCAATATTTTTTGGATCATAAAATTTAGATTATCTACCTATTTCAATCATACCCATTTCTTTTAATGATCTTTTTACTGCTACATTTATAGATTATGTAACTGGATTTGTTGTTGTTTCTGATAGATCTTACAAAGTGTATTCCTTTTTATGTTATGCTATAACAACATATTCTAATTCTTAGAAAGATGCCTTAGCAATCAAACGATCTTTAACATTGAAAGATGACCAAATATTCTTGCCTCTTAACTAAAATCATTTTAATATTTTTATTACTGTGAATTCTTATAATCCTTATATTTAAAGATCTTTAGTTGCTAATCTAACTATTTCTTCCCTTAATTTTCTAGCATCATCAGCTATTGGTGGATCAAACTCAACTGCGTAAATATTAATCGCTTGATTTTACTAAATAAACTTCATTGGAAAATGATTTGAAATCAGATTAATCCTTCTACTTATTTGTTCCAACCTTTATGATCTTGAAGGTCTCTTTGGTAAATCACTAATTTTTTACATAAATATTTTATTCCAAATCTTATACCTTAAATAGCTAAATCTTATTCAGGATATTTAAAAATGGGTAGGTCCAATTTACTCTCCAATATTCTTATAAAATATCAGTAACTACATTCCTTATTCACTCATTCTAAAAGAAATTCATAACAAAATAAATGATGTGGGATCATAGATCAATCAAATTAGTCTCATAAATAAACTAAAATGAAAAATTTGTTAATATCTAATCAGAACTCATACAAAGTATCTTCCCATAATATATTATGAGTAACTAACATATTATTAATCTAATCTATATAATGAACTATCCCTATATTAATTAGAATGAAAATCAATAAACTTAAAAATGGATCTCTATACAGATATCCAAAATTTGATAAATGTCAAAGAAATGAATTTTAGTAATTAATACCTGTTATCTATATGAATTATATCTAAATTATTGTATTGCTTTGTTATTTCTAATTAATTACCTAAAAACTATTCTGAATATGTATTCTTCTATCTATTCAAATATTTATATTGCTAATTCAATTATCCAGATTCTCTCTTATTAATAACACTATTTGATAATTTCCAAATTTAATTTTGTCAACGATTCTTGTATTTTAACATGATTAAACTAAAACATTTTTTACTTGAATTAGTTTCAATTCTAAANTTTATATCTTAAATATTCTTAGTATTGAGACTAAACATGAATTCTAAAGCATTCTAATCTCTAAGTACTCTTGATGCAAAATCAATTTACAGAAATGGCATCCCTTAATAAAATTAAAATGAAGTTTTTACACCTCTCCACACTTTTAATCCATGTTCATTAATCTAATATATAAATTATATATACTCTATTGCATTCAATATTTTTTGGATCATAAAATTTAGATTATCTACCTATTTCAATCATACCCATTTCTTTTAATGATCTTTTTACTGCTACATTTATAGATTATGTAACTGGATTTGTTGTTGTTTCTGATAGATCTTACAAAGTGTATTCCTTTTTATGTTATGCTATAACAACATATTCTAATTCTTAGAAAGATGCCTTAGCAATCAAACGATCTTTAACATTGAAAGATGACCAAATATTCTTGCCTCTTAACTAAAATCATTTTAATATTTTTATTACTGTGAATTCTTATAATCCTTATATTTAAAGATCTTTAGTTGCTAATCTAACTATTTCTTCCCTTAATTTTCTAGCATCATCAGCTATTGGTGGATCAAACTCAACTGCGTAAATATTAATCGCTTGATTTTACTAAATAAACTTCATTGGAAAATGATTTGAAATCAGATTAATCCTTCTACTTATTTGTTCCAACCTTTATGATCTTGAAGGTCTCTTTGGTAAATCACTAATTTTTTACATAAATATTTTATTCCAAATCTTATACCTTAAATAGCTAAATCTTATTCAGGATATTTAAAAATGGGTAGGTCCAATTTACTCTCCAATATTCTTATAAAATATCAGTAACTACATTCCTTATTCACTCATTCTAAAAGAAATTCATAACAAAATAAATGATGTGGGATCATAGATCAATCAAATTAGTCTCATAAATAAACTAAAATGAAAAATTTGTTAATATCTAATCAGAACTCATACAAAGTATCTTCCCATAATATATTATGAGTAACTAACATATTATTAATCTAATCTATATAATGAACTATCCCTATATTAATTAGAATGAAAATCAATAAACTTAAAAATGGATCTCTATACAGATATCCAAAATTTGATAAATGTCAAAGAAATGAATTTTAGTAATTAATACCTGTTATCTATATGAATTATATCTAAATTATTGTATTGCTTTGTTATTTCTAATTAATTACCTAAAAACTATTCTGAATATGTATTCTTCTATCTATTCAAATATTTATATTGCTAATTCAATTATCCAGATTCTCTCTTATTAATAACACTATTTGATAATTTCCAAATTTAATTTTGTCAACGATTCTTGTATTTTAACATGATTAAACTAAAACATTTTTTACTTGAATTAGTTTCAATTCTAAATATATTAATATTTATTAATCTTTGTTTATATATTATATATACAATCATAGATCAAATAGTCTAAATAAATTCTCAAATATTACTATGTGATTATGGATAATAGCATATACTCTTGCAAATTCAAATTAATCTAACATCAAATATTTAATAATATGGAAATTTATATTAGAAAGTGTCACCTTTGATTGAATAACATAATTCTTATCAGAAAAGTTTAAGTATTTTTATAAAACATATACTTAATTGATATAATTAATGAACAATTATCATTATCTTCTGAAATTCATTATCATTGGTGATACATGTAAATCCTAATCAATAGCATATGAAAGGTGTTGGCAAAAGTTGTCTCCTTCTTCAATTCACTGATTCTAGATTCAGAAATGAACATGATGCAACAATTGGTGTCGAGTTTGGATCAAGAAATACCAAGATTAATGATAAGACTATTAAATTATAAGTATGGGATACAGCTGGATAAGAAGCATTTAAATCAATTACACGCTCATATTATAGAGGGTTTATATTTCTAAATAAATTAGATCAATTGGTGGTATTCTTGTATTTGATGTGACTTCCAGATAGTCCTTTGAAGATGTAGCAAAATGGTACTAAGAGATTTAGGGTTATGCTTGTGATAAAATTGAAATGGCATTAGTAGCAAATAAAATAGATCTAGATGCAAAGTATAATATCCAATCTTTATAGTAAAGACGTGAAGTAAGCACTGAGGAAGCATAAGCATTTGCTAAAAAACATGGGTTTGCATATTTTGAAACTTCTGCAAAAACAGGAGAAAACGTAGATACTGTATTTGAATCTATGGCTTAAACAATTTTGAAACGTATTGATTCTGGAGAGATTGATCCTTCTTAAGAAGTTTTATTTGTCATATTTTATAAATCTTTTAGATATATGGAATCAAGGTAGGTCCTGGAAATATAGAGGCATAGAAAAAGTAAACAGTAACTTAAGATACACAAAATCCAAAACCTTTAACAGGGTATACTACACCTGCAGGAAATAAAAAACAAGAAAAATAGGATAGTAGCTGCTGTTGATTGTTATGCATATATATAAAAATTAATATAATGCAAACTGATTATTTTTCTTAAAGATCAGCTAATCCTAATAATTAGAGTGCTAAGAATTTTGTTTAATAAAATAGAGGACCAAAAACTGCTCCACCTGCTATGTATTCAGTTCCTTGTATGAATTGCGAGAATTTAATACCTATAAATGAGATAGATTAACATACAATGAAATGTTTAAGTGTTTCAAAGAGTGTGACAGCAGTATTAAAATCAAATAGGAATCTTGATGAAATAAATTTCAAGATTTAAAAGTTGAGAGATTCTATTTAACAATTAAATTCAAAAGAATAGAAATAAGAAAATAAAAAGTATTTAATTAGAGCAGATGAAATGTGTGAGTAAATATAAACAATCTAAAATACAAACTAAATTGAATTAAGAAAATTGTAGGATTTAAATTAAGAATTACGAACAATGACAGAATCTTACCGTGGTTCATTAGCAATAGCATTATATTTAGAAAGATTGCATTCTTTGGGATTGTAAAAGTAAACTTAATTAGAAAAAGAGATTAGAACTCCTCGTATTGATATATAGAAGCTCAATAACAATAATAATATGAATAACAACAATTAAATAAGTAGTAATTAATTAAACAACAATTACAACAATTATAATAGTGTATAATAATCATCTACTTATCGTTATTAATAAAGTTCTGAATAAAATAGAAACTCTTAATTACCACCTCCATCATAATTTTAAAATTCTCCATATGGAAGACCTACAATAATAACTAAATTCTCTGGGAGTTAAGATAGGAATTAATTGAATGATATGAAAAGTGAGATATTGACTAAAATATCAACATCTTAATTTGATGAAAGTGAAGCAAATTAAAATGATAGTGATCTTAATAACTCTAATTAATATAATTAGCAATAAAGGATATTCTATTCTAAATGTTTAGCTTAAAAGACAAAATTACCTAATACTCACCCATCTCAAAAAATACCTTTATGTATATTACATAAAGAAATGCTTTAAAGAAAAATTCCAAATTCAATGTGGGATAAATTTATTATGGATGCTTTAAATAATCCTCATCAATATTTAGATATGAATAAAGTGTAAAATACTCAAGGTTTAAAAAATCAATTAAGATCAATGACTCAAGAACACTAATTCAAGTAAAGAATACATAATATTTGAAACTAAAGCTTAAGGATATATTATAAATACATTTTCTTTATATTTCCTTTATTATTCATTATTAATCAAAAGAGAGTATAATAATTTGATCTTTCTTTTTCATTCAAATCTTAAATCATGAATTTTACTATATAAATATATTGATGTGTGTTAAAATACTTCACATAAATAATAAATTAATGAGCATAATCAGAGAAAATAACAAAAATAGAGGTAGAGTCTATCGTTGCTTTGCCATTTTTAATTGTGATCGTTAAGAATTCACTCATATTTAAAAACGAAGATGCAATAAATCTTATGAATCCTCTTATCAAGATGTTAGAAATTAAGCTGAACATTGTTACTCTATACATTCTTTAGAATTAAGTTATAAGAATGCTTATTCAGAATGGTTTGGAATATTGGATTAACCATAAAGTAATTCATTCAAAATATTTTATAGAGTGTTATTTCATGTTTATGCTTTTTCCACAAACCAACATCTAATTAGTAAATGAAGCCTTAAATTAACTAATTAAATTAATATCCTCAATACCCAATTATTACCATGTAAATATCTATAGCTAAGTAGTTAACTTCTGAACAATTAGATCAACTTAAAAGAGCAGAAATAAGGAAACTAATAGACAAAATGGAAAATGAATATATTGAAAAAGAAGGTATTATGGGTAATCCTTCAGAAGATGAGTAAGCTGGAAGTAAGATTATTAGTTTTAATCCTATTAAGTATAAATATATTATAAAATAGATCAAATCCTCCAAGTTCATTCAGATCAAATATTTAATTATAAACATCTAAAAATGATACTCTAATTATATCATAAAAAGAACTTGCTTAGACTAAAACTGTGGATAAAGAATATGTTGAATTTGGTGTCTATAGAGGATTTGCTATATTCAGTCTTTAATTATAAAAAATCATTTTTTAAATTAGAAGAGGATCTAAATAAGCTTTTACATAATCAATTAATAATATTGAGAAATTATTAAAGGTAAATTCTAAATAACCTGAACAATACTCTATTTTCATTGAAAAAGTCAATTCCAGAGCAGAATGGCATGGGAAATATCATAAACCTGATTGTACTTATTTTTATTTGATTTAATAGAATGCTATTATTTAATTATGACATTTTAGAATGCTGATCCAGAGGAATGCAATAAAACTTTAAAATTAGCTATAAGTAGATTTTCTAAAGATCCACATTTTGTTTAATATTCATAATAAGAATTGAATGATAAATATCTTTGGGATGTCAGTAATCTATTGAAATCTTCAGAAAGACATTATGAATATGACCAAAGTCATTTAGGTGTACCCAGTGATGATGAAGTTATACCTAAATTAGATATACTAAAATCAAGTACTTTAGGATTAACTAAAAATTATTCAACTTTTTCAGCATCCAAAATGGAATTAATTTAAATGTAGATATTACCAAGATCTCATTTAATGTAATTAGGAGAAACTGATTTAGATTCTCCTATATAAACAAAAGAAACCATTTTAACTAAGCTTGATCATTTTGAACCATTGGTTAATGATACAGAAGATATATTGTAATATGGTGTAATAACTTCTCTTGTTATTCTGTTAATTATTTTTGCATATTTGATATTAAAATGAAACATAATATATTTATAATATTTGTAAATGGAGACTACAGCAGCACTTACTACAACTACATTTAAATTAACAGCCAATCTCAAACCACTTGATAAAGATATAGTTTAACTTCAATAAGATTATGAAATCATGAAAAAGAATCTAGAATAAGCCAAAGCAGATATACAAGCTAAATTTGATGAAGCATATGAGTACAATCTATCTTATAATATAATAATAAAATCATCTAAACTAAACAGATGTTTGTTAAATTAGCTGTTGAATTGAATGGTAAAATATAAGCATTCTAAAAAACTAACCATGCAAATATTTCAAGTTACAATTTACTCTTATATCTATAGATTTGGAGAATAAACATAATGAACAACATAATCAATTTAAGAATTTTACAAATGCAGAACTTACAACATTAGATTCTGATATTGTGAATTTAGATTAAGCTTTAAAAAAGATATATGGAGAATTAGCAATTCATTTTTATCATATTTTTAGTATTTTTATTGAAGTCAATCAATTATTAAAAATGTAAATAATGAATATCACAATAATAACAAAAGTATAACTTTTAAAATTAAATAAATATGTTTAATATGAAATAAGAAAATACTAAGGATTTTATATGAAATGGTTTTTAAAAAAGAGTGTAAGATGGGCGAATCCAAAAAATTACTAAACACAAATTAAATAACTACTAAAAAAAATTGAGACAGCTTAATCTAACCTTATAATAGTTATTGGATCATTTATGCATATTAAAATTTTGTAATCTCAACTAATTAAAAAAAAAAAAATTTTTCGTTAAATTATTAATGGAAAATGATTAGATGCATTATGATATACTTAGTTCATTAAGTCTTTATGATATTAATAAAATGATTGTGAACTTTGCTCATTTAAGAAACTAATAATTAGTTCAACTGTATAAAATGAAAAACTAAATGTATAGCATTGTCAAATAATGGAATTTTTAATTTTCAACAAAAGCAAAGTACCTAAATAATAATGATTTAAATTTAGAAGATGATATAGTTTTAAGAAAAATTCTTGATTTTAATTTATAATAAAAATATGAAAATTAACCTTAGTTTTTTTGAAAAAAATTATAACAATCGAAATATAAATTAATTTACTTCTTTATGAGGTTTTTATATTAAATGGTATACCTTTAATTTATTCTATGGAATTCGAAAATATCTTGATTTAAAGACAATAAAGGAAGATGATGAAATGGAATAAATTAACAAACAATGGTAGTGGAAAAATTTGAATGCATAAATACTAAATTTAGATCATTAATTACAATTAATTGATACTGAATAATGTAATTAGAATGTGAGATATTATTTTAATATTGTTATTTATTTTTTTTTCATAATTTTGTATTCTAATTCTGTTTTTATTCAAATATGATATTTATTTATTTTTTATAATTTTTGTAAAATAGTGAAAATTTATTAAGCTAATTTTATTAATCCTTTTATTTGATTAAAACTAAATTTTATTAATCACTAATATTCCATTCTTTCATTTTTCTCTTAAATACTATTAATCTTTTTAATGATCAATTCATGATCAAATAATACATTCCATTGAGCTTGGATTAAATATGGTAATTTCTTATTAATTAGCATTTAATCATGTATGTAAATTTTATGTATAAAAGGAATTATATTTTTATTTGAAATTATATATGGTAGAGGGTTGTTTATAATTAAAATCTAATCATATTCTTAGATGATTAGATTGAGATTATTGATAATAATAATTGTATTTTACTTTATTATTTTAAGTTTTATATCTAAATACTTATAGAAATATACCAATTGAGATTTCTTATAAGATTTATTGATGAGTTTAGGTTTTAAATTGAACTTAAATTCTAATAAATTATTTTAGTATTCTTGTAATTATTTGATGTTATTTTAGGAGGGTTTTATTTAGGTAATTAAAAATCTACCATTCTCATTTCCCTCTTTTTTGCGATTATACTTTTTTCGATAAATTCTTTTGATATTTACCCTAAATGATATTTTCTTATGTGTTATTATAATATATAGACATATAGGATTTGTATGGTCCTGTTTAAAAGTTGTTACATAAATAACTCTCCATATTTTAATATAGATCTAAATTCTTTATTTTTTCATGAAAAATAACTATAAAACGATTTTATATTTAACTTATAATTATAAAATTGTTTTGAAATGATAAACTTTTCTAATCGATTTAGGTTCCATTATATCTATCATTCATTATTTAAATAAGTACCTACAAGCTATGATGTGGTTGTATAAACTGAATTACCTAATGTTTAATATGAGCACTAATCTCTCACAGTGATATCTCCTAAGAGATTAGTTTAATTTAGGTTTTTAATAATTTCTTCATTATAAAAATTTTCATATATATTTTTTTGATTATCAATTAAGCTTTTTACTTTTTCCACCTCCCAGAGATTAAAATCTGATAAAAAATTTTAAGTTTTCAAACCATTACATTTTTGGATTAATCATGGAGTTTATAAAGACTATATAAAATTTAAGAACTTCGCTGTAAATTAGCCATAAAGTAAATTAATAAGTATTTATTATAATATCATTTTCTGAATGATATCTACATAGTTTGAATATATTTTAAATTATTCCTCTTTTGTATTTTCTTGAATTTTTTCTACAAAATTTGTTATTTTTTTTGGTAACATAGTATTATTATTTAATTATTTAATTTTTTTATTTTCTCTTCCGAATAAAAAAGTAATGTTTTGAAGTTTATATCAAGTTAAATCAATAGAGGCTTACATGCTCTAGCTCTCCTACCAACTAAATTCTTCACCCAGCTCAATTTGCTGATACCACATTATTTTAGCTAGGAGTCTCTTCTGACAGTTTAAGGGTATTCGATATTTTGATTTAAAAAAGCCACTTCCTCTATCAAGTAAATCAAAAGAAAAATCTAGCTTTCTTATACTCACTTGCTAATTTGAAGCAATACTTTTTTTATTTTAGTCCAAGGAATTTTACTAGAAATTAATTTAAATTAAGTCTCTAAACTTATTTCATTAAAAAATTTCATCAGAATTGTAAATATATTAAAGTTAAATAAAAAAAAAAATACTTCAGATTAAAATAAAAAAATTGAAATTTTGACTTTTATGCATAAGATTATTTCTTTTTTTCGATAAATTATTAAATTACACTAGTTTATGAATTATTATCATTATTATTCCTGTTAAGGAACTAGATATATCAATATCATTTTTGAAAAAAGAAATAAAATGAAATGAATATAATAAACTATAAATTTCTAAATATAAATAATTGAATTTGTGTTTATATTCTTAAAAAAATAAATTTAATATTTTTTTCTGATTTAAATTAGTAAATAGTTCAAATCAAATTTCTAAAATGAAAACAAAATATTTGTAGTAGATATTTTTGGTTTATGTTGAAACATTTAATAAAATAATTTAAAAGGAAAAAGTTTTGGCATAAAACTGTAGAGTCATAGAATTTGGGATTATGAAAGAAATATAAGATATAAGTCCATGCATTATTGATTAAATACAATTAATTATTTTAATATTAATGAAAAGGAATCTAATTTATTTGTTCATTTTTATTTAGACAATTAAGGAGGGATTGTGCTAAGTCCCTTGTGTTAATAACAACAAATGTAGTTAATGTGATGATTTAAACACTTATTGTACATAGTGTATTGAAGGATACATTTTAGGGGAAAATCTATGTTTATGTAAATATGTGTTATGATTATATAGCTTGCTCATAAGGATGTATTGATTGTAAAAATGGAATTAATAAATGCTAGCTCTGCTCGCTTGGTTATTAATTGATTAACAATAATTGTTGTGGTAATGACTAAATATTAAAATAAATTAGTTGATGAAATGTGTTAAGATTATGATTAAACTTGTAGTTGTTCATCATGCATCCTTGGATATTATTTGTAGAATACTAGTTGCCTGCTGTGTGAACATCCATGTGTAAATTGTTCAAATGCAGGAAACACAAATTGTTAATCTTGCAAAAATGGATATTATCTTGATGGTTCAAAATGTGAAAACTGCGATCCATCTTGCTTGTTATGTGAAACTTCCTCCAATAATTGTTCATAATGCAAAATAGGCCATTATTTAAATAATACGACCTGTGTAGCTTGTTCAGCTCATTGTAATGATTGTATATCTGACACTGAATGCACTTCATGCGATGATAATTACCAAGTAGAAAATGGAATTTGCACAGCATGTACAATCACTCAATACTATTCATCTGGACATTGTTATAATTGCTCAAACAATTGTAAGTCATGTTTGAATAGTGATTCAAATTGTACATCCTGTCTTCAAGGAAAATACCTAGAGGATAATGCATGCTTGCCCTGTGTTGCTCCATGTACTGAGTGCAACAATTAGAATTAATGTATTACTTGTAACACCGGATATTGGTTTGATAACCAAGCTTGTAGAAAATGTGATATTAAATGTAAAACATGCACTTCTGAAACTCAATGCCAATCTTGCGCTGATGGTTATTACTCAGATGGCGGAAGCTCTTGTTTAACTTGTCCAAATGGATGTACAAAATGTTCGAGTGCTACTGAATGTTCATCTTGCCAATAAAATTATTATTTGGATGGTATTTGCAAATAATGTTCTGCTGGATTCTTCTTATAGGGCACTGTTTGCGCTGCATGCGACAGTCCTTGTGCAAATTGTGAAAATGAAGCAACTCATTGTTTATCTTGTTAACCAAAATACTACTTGATTAATAATTCCTGCTCTCATTGCAAATCACCATGTGATAATTGTGAATCAGAGACAGCTTGCATAAATTGTGTTGCTGAATATTATTACAATGATTCAAATAAAAGTTGTACTCGTTGCGAATCTCCTTGCACAGAATGTTCGGGACCTGGAAATACTTAATGCTCAATGTGTAAAGATGGTTACTTCTTGGATTCATAAATCTGTAAGGCTTGTTAGTAACCTTGCAAAAATTGCTAAAATAGTTCAATATGTTTAACCTGTGTTGATGGGTATTTCTATGAAGGATCTGGGTGCTAATTATGTTCTTCAGAGTGTGCTATTTGTAACGGTCCAGAAGTTACTTAATGCTCGAGTTGCAAAGAAAAATATTATCTTGACATAACAAAATGCTTAAGTAATTTATTTGTTTTGATTCTTAGGTTGCCCTCCAAAATGCCAATCAACATGTGATTACTTAAACAATACTTTAACATGCCATGCTTGTGCTTCTGGATACTTTGGTGGTGACTGTGAGGAATGCTCGACTGACTGTAAAACTTGTGTGGATTTGGCTACAAAATGTACTTCATGTAATATCGGACACTACTTGAATGAATATGCTTGTACTAAGTGCGACGAACATTGCATCACTTGCGCTAATACAACTGGAGCCTGTTTAAGTTGTGATGATGGATATGTGGTTAATGAAGAAAATAAATGTGCAAGTAATTTATAAATTTTTATAAAATAATAGCTTGTTCAAATTGTACTTGTCCAGAAAAATAATACTTCGATAGTGGTGATAAAATATGCAAACCCTGTGATACATCTTGTACATTATGTGTTGGTGTCCCCACAAATTGTCAATCTTGTGAACCTTAATATTATTTGAATGGCTCCGCATGTACTCCTTGTCCAGCACCATGCTTAAATTGTTCTACAATAAATACCTGTTCATCATGCATCCTTGGATATTATTTGTAGAATACTAGTTGCCTGCTGTGTGAACATCCATGTGTAAATTGTTCAAATGCAGGAAACACAAATTGTTAATCTTGCAAAAATGGATATTATCTTGATGGTTCAAAATGTGAAAACTGCGATCCATCTTGCTTGTTATGTGAAACTTCCTCCAATAATTGTTCATAATGCAAAATAGGCCATTATTTAAATAATACGACCTGTGTAGCTTGTTCAGCTCATTGTAATGATTGTATATCTGACACTGAATGCACTTCATGCGATGATAATTACCAAGTAGAAAATGGAATTTGCACAGCATGTACAATCACTCAATACTATTCATCTGGACATTGTTATAATTGCTCAAACAATTGTAAGTCATGTTTGAATAGTGATTCAAATTGTACATCCTGTCTTCAAGGAAAATACCTAGAGGATAATGCATGCTTGCCCTGTGTTGCTCCATGTACTGAGTGCAACAATTAGAATTAATGTATTACTTGTAACACCGGATATTGGTTTGATAACCAAGCTTGTAGAAAATGTGATATTAAATGTAAAACATGCACTTCTGAAACTCAATGCCAATCTTGCGCTGATGGTTATTACTCAGATGGCGGAAGCTCTTGTTTAACTTGTCCAAATGGATGTACAAAATGTTCGAGTGCTACTGAATGTTCATCTTGCCAATAAAATTATTATTTGGATGGTATTTGCAAATAATGTTCTGCTGGATTCTTCTTATAGGGCACTGTTTGCGCTGCATGCGACAGTCCTTGTGCAAATTGTGAAAATGAAGCAACTCATTGTTTATCTTGTTAACCAAAATACTACTTGATTAATAATTCCTGCTCTCATTGCAAATCACCATGTGATAATTGTGAATCAGAGACAGCTTGCATAAATTGTGTTGCTGAATATTATTACAATGATTCAAATAAAAGTTGTACTCGTTGCGAATCTCCTTGCACAGAATGTTCGGGACCTGGAAATACTTAATGCTCAATGTGTAAAGATGGTTACTTCTTGGATTCATAAATCTGTAAGGCTTGTTAGTAACCTTGCAAAAATTGCTAAAATAGTTCAATATGTTTAACCTGTGTTGATGGGTATTTCTATGAAGGATCTGGGTGCTAATTATGTTCTTCAGAGTGTGCTATTTGTAACGGTCCAGAAGTTACTTAATGCTCGAGTTGCAAAGAAAAATATTATCTTGACATAACAAAATGCTTAAGTAATTTATTTGTTTTGATTCTTAGGTTGCCCTCCAAAATGCCAATCAACATGTGATTACTTAAACAATACTTTAACATGCCATGCTTGTGCTTCTGGATACTTTGGTGGTGACTGTGAGGAATGCTCGACTGACTGTAAAACTTGTGTGGATTTGGCTACAAAATGTACTTCATGTAATATCGGACACTACTTGAATGAATATGCTTGTACTAAGTGCGACGAACATTGCATCACTTGCGCTAATACAACTGGAGCCTGTTTAAGTTGTGATGATGGATATGTGGTTAATGAAGAAAATAAATGTGCAAGTAATTTATAAATTTTTATAAAATAATAGCTTGTTCAAATTGTACTTGTCCAGAAAAATAATACTTCGATAGTGGTGATAAAATATGCAAACCCTGTGATACATCTTGTACATTATGTGTTGGTGTCCCCACAAATTGTCAATCTTGTGAACCTTAATATTATTTGAATGGCTCCGCATGTACTCCTTGTCCAGCACCATGCTTAAATTGTTCTACAATAAATACCTGTTCATCATGCATCCTTGGATATTATTTGTAGAATACTAGTTGCCTGCTGTGTGAACATCCATGTGTAAATTGTTCAAATGCAGGAAACACAAATTGTTAATCTTGCAAAAATGGATATTATCTTGATGGTTCAAAATGTGAAAACTGCGATCCATCTTGCTTGTTATGTGAAACTTCCTCCAATAATTGTTCATAATGCAAAATAGGCCATTATTTAAATAATACGACCTGTGTAGCTTGTTCAGCTCATTGTAATGATTGTATATCTGACACTGAATGCACTTCATGCGATGATAATTACCAAGTAGAAAATGGAATTTGCACAGCATGTACAATCACTCAATACTATTCATCTGGACATTGTTATAATTGCTCAAACAATTGTAAGTCATGTTTGAATAGTGATTCAAATTGTACATCCTGTCTTCAAGGAAAATACCTAGAGGATAATGCATGCTTGCCCTGTGTTGCTCCATGTACTGAGTGCAACAATTAGAATTAATGTATTACTTGTAACACCGGATATTGGTTTGATAACCAAGCTTGTAGAAAATGTGATATTAAATGTAAAACATGCACTTCTGAAACTCAATGCCAATCTTGCGCTGATGGTTATTACTCAGATGGCGGAAGCTCTTGTTTAACTTGTCCAAATGGATGTACAAAATGTTCGAGTGCTACTGAATGTTCATCTTGCCAATAAAATTATTATTTGGATGGTATTTGCAAATAATGTTCTGCTGGATTCTTCTTATAGGGCACTGTTTGCGCTGCATGCGACAGTCCTTGTGCAAATTGTGAAAATGAAGCAACTCATTGTTTATCTTGTTAACCAAAATACTACTTGATTAATAATTCCTGCTCTCATTGCAAATCACCATGTGATAATTGTGAATCAGAGACAGCTTGCATAAATTGTGTTGCTGAATATTATTACAATGATTCAAATAAAAGTTGTACTCGTTGCGAATCTCCTTGCACAGAATGTTCGGGACCTGGAAATACTTAATGCTCAATGTGTAAAGATGGTTACTTCTTGGATTCATAAATCTGTAAGGCTTGTTAGTAACCTTGCAAAAATTGCTAAAATAGTTCAATATGTTTAACCTGTGTTGATGGGTATTTCTATGAAGGATCTGGGTGCTAATTATGTTCTTCAGAGTGTGCTATTTGTAACGGTCCAGAAGTTACTTAATGCTCGAGTTGCAAAGAAAAATATTATCTTGACATAACAAAATGCTTAAGTAATTTATTTGTTTTGATTCTTAGGTTGCCCTCCAAAATGCCAATCAACATGTGATTACTTAAACAATACTTTAACATGCCATGCTTGTGCTTCTGGATACTTTGGTGGTGACTGTGAGGAATGCTCGACTGACTGTAAAACTTGTGTGGATTTGGCTACAAAATGTACTTCATGTAATATCGGACACTACTTGAATGAATATGCTTGTACTAAGTGCGACGAACATTGCATCACTTGCGCTAATACAACTGGAGCCTGTTTAAGTTGTGATGATGGATATGTGGTTAATGAAGAAAATAAATGTGCAAGTAATTTATAAATTTTTATAAAATAATAGCTTGTTCAAATTGTACTTGTCCAGAAAAATAATACTTCGATAGTGGTGATAAAATATGCAAACCCTGTGATACATCTTGTACAAAATGCTAAGGAATTTCAACGAGTTGCCAAGCTTGTTCTTCTGGTTTCTATTTAGAAACTTCGACGTGTAAGAATTGTGTTGCTCCATGTATTATTTGTACTGCTATGAATGTGTGTTAAAAGTGCAATAGTGGATACTTTTTAGAAAATGATAGTTGCTTATCATGTTAATCACCATGTATTAATTGTTTGGCAGGAGGAAACACTAATTGTTCTTTATGTTAGTTTGGATATTATTTAGATATATAAATTTGTAAGCTTTGTGACTAGGCTTGTAAAAAGTGCTCAGGTAGTTCCATTAATTGTTCTGAATGTTAAATGGGATATTATTTAGAAAACTCAACATGTACTCTATGTTCAAATCACTGTAATGCTTGCAATTCAGCAACTCAATGCACTACTTGTGATATTGGATATGAAATAGTTAATGGTGAATGCATTGCATGCTCTATGAACCAATACTACTTAAACCTAAAATGTTTATAATGTTTACTTCCTTGTTCATCTTGTGAGCAAACTGAATCTCATTGTACTAGTTGCACAGATGGATATTATTTATAATCATATTAATGCTTCTAATGTATATAGCCTTGTATAAATTGTTCTTCATAAAATGACTGTTTATCATGCATATCAGGAAAATATTTAAGCAATACGACTTGCATATCTTGTGAATAACCTTGTGCTACATGTACTTCATCAGGTACTTCTAATTGCCAATCATGTTAATAAGGATATTACTTAGAAAATAATTAATGCATTTTATGTAGTACAATTTTAAATTCTTGTTTAACTTGTACAAATAAACTAGCTTGTACCTCTTGTGATACAACACACTATTTAAATAATGGAAAATGTTTGGAATGCACTAGTAATTGTAAATCATGTTCTGATCAAAATACTTGCACTAGTTGCATTGATACAAAATATTTAGATACTACAACTTGTCAATCATGTTAGTCTCCTTGTCTAAATTGTATAACAAATTAAAATAACTGCCTGAGTTGTGTAGATTCATATTATCTTAATTAAAATATTTGCATAAGTAAATATTCTATTATATTTCTAGAATGCATATCCCCATGTTAGAATTGTTCAAATGATTCAACTTGTTTAAGTTGTGTAGCAGGATACTTTTTCTAAAATGGTATATGTTCAAAATGTAACAATGAATGCCAATTATGTTCTGGTTCTGCTAATTAATGCTAATTATGTTAAAGTGGATATTACTTATCTGGAACAAGTTGCATGAGTTGCGTTTCTCCTTGCTCTACTTGTACATCAGAATCATCTTGCAATAGCTGTGTAAACACATCATATTACTACATAAATAATTCATGCATAACTTGTAAATCTCCTTGCTCAAATTGCAGTGGAGAAAATTCTTGTTTGAGCTGCATAAATGGATATTATTAAAATTAAACTAGTTGTCTTTAATGTGTAAGTCCTTGTTAAAATTGTTCATCATCATCAATTTGTAGTAGCTGTATTGATAATTACTACCTTAATGGTACAATTTGTTCTAAATGCCCAACAAAATGCAAAGATACTTGTAGTTTTGTAAATAACTAAGTAAATTGTGGAAGTTGCGCAGATGGATATTATTTCAGCAATTTAGATTGCATTTAATGTTCAACAAATTGTAAGACTTGTGAAAATACAGATAATGAATGCAAATCTTGTGTGACTGGAAAATACCTATAAAATTCTTAGTGCAAACCTTGTTCAACAAATTGCATTGAATGTGAAGCTATCACTGGAAATTGTACACTTTGCCAAAGTGGTTTTTCTGTTAATTCATTTCACTAATGTGCTGAATGCCCAACTTGTAATTGCCAAAATGGACAATATTATAATTAAAGTTAAAATAACTGCTTGAGTTGTGATTCTAAATGTGAATCTTGTTTTGGTGGATTAATCTAATAATGTACCAGTTGCATAAATGGGTATTATTTATAAGATAGTACATGTGCCATATGCTAAACACCATGTATAAATTGTACTTCTGCTGTCAACTGTTTATCTTGTATTAATACAACTTATTTGAGTGAAAATTAATGTTTGACTTGCTAATCTCCTTGTCATAAATGCTTAAGTGCAGGTAATACTAATTGTTAAGAATGCATTACCGGATATTATTTGAATGGAAATGTGTGTGTTCAATGTGATGCAAAATGCAAAACTTGTACAGCTTAAAATACATGCTAAACTTGTGCTGATGGAAATTATTTAAGTGAATCAACTTGTGTCGAATGCCCAACAGGATGCACATATTGTACAAATGGTTCTAAGTGCATAGGTTGTAGATCTGATTATTATTTGGATGGAATTTGTAAATAATGTAGTGTAGGGTAATTTATATCTAATAACTCATGCTCTTTATGTCAATCACCTTGTGCTTCTTGTGTGACAAATGCTTCTAATTGTTAAAGTTGCATAGATAATTATTATAAACCATTAAATTTGAATACTTGTTAGTAGTGTGTTTCACCCTGTAAATTATGTAGTTCAGATGTTGCTTGTTTATCATGCTAGAATGGATATTATTATACAAGCTCAAATAATTCATGTACTACATGTACATTACCATGTCTTACTTGCCTAACAGCAGGAAATGCAAATTGTTAATCATGTGTGGCTGGATATTACTTAGATGGATAGATATGTAGAGATTGCACCTAATTATCTTATTGTTTAGAATGTTCAAGTTCATTGGTCTGTACAAAATGTGATACTACTCATTTTGTAAGTGATGGTTAATGTTTGACCTGTCAACCTAGATGCAATACTTGTAATACCTCAAGTACTTGTAATAGTTGTTTAAGTGGTAAGTATCTAAATAGTTCTAATACTTGTTCAACTTGCTAATCTCCTTGTTTAACATGTTTCGGAACAGATGGTTTGGTATGTAGTTCTTGTGAAAGCAAATACTACCTTAATGTATCAACTTGTACACAATGTGTTTCTCCATGCTTAACTTGCACAACAGCAGTTAATTGTAGTTCATGTGTAGATGGAACCTATCTAAATGGTTAAGAATGTCTAAGTTGTAATTTTGCTTGTACCAAATGTTCTGGTTTAGCTACTACATGTTCTTCATGTTCTAATGGATATTATTTGAGTGGGACTTCATGTATAGCTTGTACACCTCCATGTGGAACTTGTGTTGATTCCTCAACAAAATGCTTAAGCTGTAATACATAATCAAAATATTTGGACAATAATACTTGTTTAAATTGTGTATCCCCTTGTTAAACTTGTTCAAGTGCATCTTTTTGTTTAACTTGTATTTCTACCTACTATCTAAATGCTTAAAATACTTGTACTTAATGTGCATAACCCTGTGTTACTTGTACAACATAAACTTCATGTTTATCTTGTTTAGATGGTTATTATTTAGCTGGAACTTAATGCTTAATTTGTGACAGCAATTGTAGAACTTGTTGGAATAGAGCTGATTATTGTATGTCATGCTCTACGCGATAGTTTTTATCATCTGAAAACAAATGCGCACCATGCTTATCACCTTGTTTTTCTTGTGTTAATTCAGCAACTTCATGTACATCATGTTTAGATTTATTTTATTATGAAGCCAATAGTTGTAAGAGATGCGTTTCACCTTGCTGGACTTGTGAATCACTAAATATATGCAAATTATGTTTATCTGGCAAATATTATGACTAAACTTAAAGGTATTGTTTAGATTGTGATAAAAATTCTTGTGTTACTTGTGCAGGTACTTCAACAACATGTTTGAGTTGTGCTATTGGTAAATATTTGGAAAATAATACTTGTAAAACATGTGATCCTAAATGTGTTACTTGTACTAGTTTGACTACTTGTCAAACATGTTCTGTTGGTTTCTATTACAATGGATCAGAATGTGTTGCATGCACACCACCTTGTATTGAATGTAACTCTGGTTCAATTTGTACAAAATGCTCAAATGATCTCTACAAATTAAGCTTAAGTCAGTGCATTAGTTGTTCATTACCTTGTAGAACTTGTGATTAAGATGTTTGCAAATCCTGTGTTAATAAATATTATTTCGATTCTGCTGAAGTTGATACTACAAAGAAATGCAAATTATGTGTTAGTCCTTGTGACTAATGCTCAACTTTGAATAGTTGTACAACTTGTGTATAAGGATTTTATTTAGAAGGAACATCTTGTATTAAATGTACTAATAATTGCAATACATGTGAGACTGCTACTAAATGCTTTACTTGTGTTAGTAATTCTTTTTATTTAACTACTTCTAATACATGTCTATCATGCAGCAATATGGATGCATCTTGTTTAACTTGTAGTGGTTTAAACAGATGCTTAACTTGTAGGGATGGATTCTATATATTAAATTTGACATAAAATGGTGTTACT